TCAGGATTTATTTTTGTAAAGCAGGTAATTGGAACAGTATCAATTTCTTTATTTTGCTTTATTATCATGATTTGTTTTCAGTATTGATAATTACTTTTGCTTGGTTGGTGATCCAATCATTTCCAAGTAAAACATTATATCCTGATGTTTCTGTTACAATCATATCTTCTTTAATTTTAAATTTTCCTATTTTAACACTAACTTTGAACATCTTTCCTAATGGTGTAGTTTTCACTCCAATAACACTAACAATTTGGACATTGGTAAAAGCTTCTATTTCTTTGTTTACTGAATCTAGAAAACTTTTAATGACAATGCATCCAACAGCTCCTGTGTCGATTATCATATTAATTCTTTTTCCAAAAACTTCAGCTTCAGCAAAATAGGCGTCCTGTAGTTTCTGTTCTTTCCATTGAGCTTGAGTGATGGTTGTTGATATTTTTAAGCTTTCCAAGATTTTCTGCATATATTTAACATGTGTTGGCGTTATCTCATTTCTTTTACATTTATCCTCATATTGTTAAAGATATTAAGGATCCATAAGCTTTGTTTATTAGGCTCAGTATTTTTAAGTGTAGTATTCATGCTTACTTTAGTAATATATATATCACAGTTGAATTTGGGATCATTGAAGATAAGTTGTGGAATATTCTTTTTAATGATTAATTCTGTTTCTTCTTCTGTTTCTCTTATAACTGCTTCGATAGAATATTTATTTTCTTCTACTTTTCTTCCTAGTACTTGCCAAAGGTCATGCATTTTTTTATCTTTATTGATTCTTTTTGAAAGGAATATTCCAGTATCATTATAAACTACATTCATCACATAGGTTGGAGTTTTTGATTTTCTGATTATCTGAAATATATTTATAGAATTATTTGATGGGCATTTATAATCATTATGTTTCACCTATTTGTGATATTTTGAATAAACTGTAAGAGGACAATCTTGTCGATGATAATCTTTCTTTTAGCATTTATAATAAAACATTCTGATATCTCCATTTTTAATATGTTGTTTTAGAATCTGTTGTAGTTCCTGATTCTTTTTCTTTGTGATCATGTAACTATAATGGTTAATATCATCAAAATTACAAATTAAACAAGGTGTGGCATTTCTTTAGAAATATGCAAGTATTCTATAAATTCATCATTTTTAAAAGGTTCGTTGATATATTCTTGATTTTCTTCATATTTTTATGGAATTCTCTAATATATTCTAGTGGGTTGTTTCATGTAACTTGTTTTTCAGTTTCTAGAAAATTTAATTCATCTGCACTCTCACCTCTTGAAGGTGCGTTTATTAGTTTAAATGATTAACTGAAGAATTGAACTGTTGATTTCTTCCTGAAGAAGATTGTCTGTTATTTTATTGATTATTCCAATTTCTATTATTGTTATTTGGATTATTACTGTTAAAATTATTATTCTGGTTTTGATTATTTTGATTATTATTATTATTTTGATGATTATTGTTTCAGTTTGCTTGACAATCTTTTGCCATATGTTCAGGTTTGTTACAATTAAAACATGTTCTTGCATTGTTATTATTGTTGTTATTATAATTACTATTATAATTATTATTATTATTATTAGTGTAATTATTATTATTATTCCTTTGCCTACAATCTTTAACAATATGTCTAATTCAATTACAGTTATGACATATTCTAATTCGATTATTATTATTATTTCTGTTATTATTATTATTGTTGTTACTATTATAGTTTGAAGAATTATTTTGATTTACTCCTAATTTTCGTATGAGTTACTACAATTTTCGATTAATAATTTCTTCAACAGATTCAGATGTATTACTTCTGAAAGCATTAGTTGAAATAATAGGTTAGTAAGTTGCAAGACTTGTTCTGGCTAGCATAAATCCTTCATGTAGATTTCTCAAGTAATCTGATATTAAGAAGGATGCAGATAATTCCATCCTCATTGAGTATGCAGTTTCTAATGCTAGTGCTTTGTTAATAGCTTCTTCTATATTTTTAGGCATGAATGATTGTACTGGAACTATGAATTCAGGTCGCTATTAAAGATGGAAACTGTAATTAATATGTTGCAACTTTTAATGTTGCAACTTACGTTGCAATTAGTTTTAACCTATATATGTTGCAACTAATTTTAGCTTATGTTGCAACATTTTGTAAATTTGAAATCAATTGCTGTACTATCTTTAGTCACTATCCTTCAATGAATTCAGCTATTTTATCAGCATTCATTCGATTGTTATATGGATCAATTCTTTTCCATAGTTCTGTAATTTCAGCTACATATTCGTCAATGGTTTCTATGGTTTCTCCATTTCTTTGTTTCAAGTTTTGTAATTAATGTTTCCATTGTTGCTTTCTAAAGATATTACAGTAGTGATCTCGAAATAATCAAACAAAGGATTAAATTAGAACAAGACTTCTCCAGTGGTGAGTTCCACTTTGATTAAACCAAGTTAATGCTGTTCCTTTTAGATATAATAATAGAATGTCTAGCATTCTTTTCTCAGCAACTCTATTTGAGCACATGCTCTTTCAAATCCTTCTAACCATTTTATTAGATCTTGATTACCCCCTTTTGAAGGTTGAAAAGTCAACAAGTTGAGTTTCCTTTGGGATTAATGTTCCAATAGGACCTGTATGTGTATTTAGTATATTAGTAATAATTGGTTGAGCAAATCATTACCAGTATCTGGAAGAGGAGGATTACTTCTTTTTCTTTCATCTTCTACATTCTTTCTTCTTTAGTTTGCTAATTCTTCATGGATTCCTAACCTGTTTCCAAAGTAATTTTTGATTGCTTCATCTGATTTTACTGATACATTAAAGACAGATCCTTCATCATCATCACTATCATCATATATTCTTTGATAAGTTGTTGGAAATTTTTGTAATGTATTCAATAGATTTGGTATATTATTATTATTATTATTACTAGGTATATTGTTTTCGTAACTATTGCCAGTTATATAATCCTGACTATTCTTTTTATTAGAAAGCATATAATATCTGCAATGGGCTGTTTCAATTACAGTAGGTTTGTAATTCATTTCAAAGTACCTACTATTACTTGCAAGATATGCTATATTTTTATTCTTTCCTCTGAACTCATTGTATTCTCATAATTAGTTATGAATTCTGTGTCATCATGAATTTTATACATAAGTTCAGCCCATTTCAAATCGCTTTCTGAGGGATTACAGAAAGGATCATAACTACTATTTTTTGGTGGTGAATTCTGATCATGAGAGAATGTATTGACCAATATATCATCATTATTTCTAGTTATTTTTGATACTTTTGAACTTTTTCTTGAACTTTTCCTTAATGCTAATCTTGAATTAGTTCCTGATTTTATCGATGTTTCAATTTCTCAGTTGTTAGTTTCCAAGTAATTACTCCACTTGTTTTCTAATATATTTAGCAAGTCTTCAAAAGATTCTTGTGCAAGTTTGTAATATCTTATGAAAGTTATAATTAGTTTAAAACACTGATTTAATACTACAGAATTATCTTTGTTTTCTTTTGCTTTACCAAAAGCCTTTACAGTCTTTTCAGTAATACTAGTATATGAGTCTTATTTTAATGAATAAACTGTTCAGAAATACCAAAATCTTCCAAATTCTTCCGAAGGTTGTTCTGTTATCAGATAGCAATGGATACAAAATGGATTTGGATTCTCTTTTAATACTTGATTGTTTCCTTGTAAATGTGCTTCACTATGTTTGATTATTTTCTGATAATACTCTGATCGACTAAACATATACTATCTTTTACTTAAATCTTCAAGAATTTCATCAATTGTAATCTTTAACTTATGAAATCTTATAAAATCTTTAATTCTGTTCACTTCTTTTTGAATTCTTTGGATAGTTGCAAATGTTACAACGTCTTCTCTTTTGGCTATTTCTAAAAGATTGTTAAGTATCCTTATTTGTAATTCTAAGTGGAGTCCTTGAAATGTGTATAATGGTCTGAGTTTGACTTTAATTTTAGATATTAACTTTTACTAACATCTCAATTTCAATTCCTAGTAAATCCACTTAATTTTGTTGAGTGTTCACCCAACCTGCACCAAATTTGTTATACGAGTCGATTATGAAGTCTACTGATTGAAAAATAGACTTCAATACAAATAGGGCAAAAATGGGGTTTCTGGAACAGAATTTGAAACAGCAAAAAATAGTACTCAAAAAAGATTCCTAATCGCCTACGAATCAATTTTAGCTATATGAATCAAATTATCAAATTCAAGCCTCTAGTGCATTTTGACTCAATTCTAGATGATGTTATCGAACTTGACTAGGAATTAGCCTGTCTGATACCAAGAATTACAATGT